AGACCTGAGTATAGGCTCATCTCATCCTTCACAACAGTGGCCCCTGGCAGGTATGCTGGCCTATACTCTGTGTTAATCTGAGTTCTCAAGTAGAAATGCTGGGACCATGAGATAGATGTCTTCTAGGCCTTGCCAGAGCCAAACGGGGATGGGGAGCTCACTTGTGCCTTCTCTTTACCTAAACATGTTGCCCGTTTTACTCTGCTGCCACTTGTCCTGTGTGAGCATAGGAAGCAGTGTCCCCCCAGAGTCACACAGTATCTTCTGCTGTCCGCTTTTCCTTGTCTCTCTCAATGGCCACCTTCAGGATTATAGCTTCAGGAAAGTGAGGGGCCAGGATGATCCTGCAACTTGTTTCCTAGACCTTTCCGCCCTTGCCCTACCCACACTCGCCAGCAACTAGAAGACGCGGGCTTTCCTTTCTTTCCCTGTGGCAGACTTCCTTATGAACTGTCTCTGTTTGTCAAAGGCAGAATAGTTTTTCTTTGCATTTTGCTGCAATTATCCTAAAGCTATACAAAACAAGTGGACACCTTTGCAGAGTAGGTGGAAGGTCTTATGCACAGACAACACTAGAGAAAAGGGTGGAAATGTAGTTCAAAAATACTAACCGTAAAAGAACAACGTTGGAGAAAAACAAAGGACGAAAATATGAACCCACAGATAACACAACTTTAAAACTTACTATAAAGCTATGGTCATTAAGACAGTGTGGTATTGGAAAAGAATAGATAAATAGATCAATGGAGCAGACAGGGAGCCCAGAAACAGACCCATATAAAGAGTCAACTGATCTTTGACAAAGGAGCAAAGGCAGTACAATGAGGCAAAGATAGTCCTTTCAACAAATGGTGCTGGAACAGCTGAGCATTTACATGCAAATATAAAAATGAATGTAAACACCAACTTTATGCCCTTCACAAAAATTAACTCAAAATGTATCATAGGTCTAAATGTAAGACAAAAAGCTAGAAAACTCCTACAAAATAAAATACGAGAAAACCTAGATAACCTTGGGTTCAGTGACCTTTTTTTAGATAAATATTAAAGGCATAATCCATTAAAGAAATAATTGATAAGCTCGATTTCATTAAAATTTAAAACTTCTGCTTTGAGAAAGACACTGTCAAGAGAATGAGAGAAGTCAGGCCAGAGATTGGGAGAAAACATTTACAAAAGATAAAGGACTGGTATCTAAAATATACAAAGAACTCTTAGAATTCAACATGAAAACAAACTAAAAAAAGGGCAAAGGCCTTAAAAGACACCTCATCAAAGAAGATAAACAGAAGGAAAATAAGAACATGAATAGATCCCCCCACATCAATATGTCACCAGGGACATGCAAATTAAAACAACAATGCGATATTACTACACACTTATTGGAATGGCCAAAATCCAGAATGCTGCCAACATCAAACTCTGACAAGGATGTGGAACAGGAAGAATTGTCCTTCACTGTGGTAGGAATGCGTAATGGTACAGCCACTTTGGAAGACAGTTTGGCAGTTTCTTTAAAATACTAAGCATACTCTTACCATAAAAGCCAGCAATCACACTCTGGAATTTACCCAAAGGAGTTGAAAACTTATGTCTATACAAAAACCTGTATGTGCATATTTTTATAGTTGCTATTTTTATAGCAGCTTTATTCATAATTGCCCAAACTTGGAAGTAGCCAAGCTGTCCTTCAGTAGATGAATGGGTAAATAAACTGTGCTACACCCAGACAATGATATATTATTCAGTGCTATCAAGCCATGAAAAGACATAAAGGAACCCTAAATGCATATTACTAAGTGAAGGAAAATCTGAAAAGACTACATACTGGATGGATTCAACTATATGACATGCTGAAAAAGGCAAAACTATGAAGACAGAATAAAAAGATCAGTGATTGCCAGGGTTTGGGGCAGAAGTGGGGGAGGGATGAAGACAGAGCATGGAGGATTTTTAGGGCAGTGAAACTACTCTATGATACCATAATGATGGATCCATGTCATGATACATTTATCCAAGCCACAGAATGCACAACACAAAGGGTGAACCCTAATGTAAACTATGGACTTCTGATGATTATGATGTGTCCATGTAGGTTCATCGGCTGTAGCAAAAGTAGCCCCTCAGGTGCAGGATGTCGGTAACTGCAGAGGCTATGCGTGGGTGGGGGCAGAGGATGTATGGGAAATCTCTTCAGCTTTCTCTCAGTTTTGCCAAGAACCTAAATTTCTCTGGAAAAAAACAGTCTTCAAAAATACATCAACCCTGTTACATATAAAGAAAACAAAGAAACAGAATCACTCCCGGGGCAGAAGCCTTGACTAAGTGTTAAGACACTTAAAGGGAAAAATGTGTAAGTACAAAGGAAGTTGATGAGCTATGAAAGTCATGACATCACAAAATCCCACTAAGTATTGCTGTGTGGGTTCTTTGTGAGGAAAGAGTAACATCGGCTGATGACATTCACTATGTGAATCACATCCTGCTCAAACTGTTAGGATTAGCAAGCAACTCTCTAATTACAATTTGGCTTCTTTTTTCTTAGAGAGAGCTAGTCATCCTGACATGACCACTCTAGTTCACATGGTTCTTAATATGAATAAAAGAACGTGAGCTCTGATTTATATATGTCTCTTTCATATATGACTCTCAGCCTGGGGAAAGAACTACCTGATTTAATAAAATGAGGTCTTGAGTCTATACAGCTGAGGCCCAGAGGTGGTACTGGGGTTAATTTACAAAGATGAAAACTGTCTTGTGAGGTGTTTGTCTTCTGAGAAAACTTGACCTTGCCTAAGGCCTTTCTCCTTCAGTCTCCTCCAGAGCTATCTTAGAGTCAGAGGTAAGATAATGAAATCCAGTATCATTGTAAATGGCTAAGTCAGTTAGATGCTACTCATTCTATTGAATTTCATTCCAAATAGGAGACTGGCCTTACATAATGAAGTAGGAATGACAGATAAGGATTTTCCCCCCCTTTTTTCATTATCATAAAAATTTCTATTTGGGGCTTGAGGTATTTTTAGAAATTTCATTCACTAATGTAAAAAGTTGTAATAATAATGATGACTTCCATGACAATTCTTTTGAGGAATAACATACTTAGTGCCTATTGCTCTGCCAAATTTATACTGGGTGTGAACGTTCTCTAGCAGTGGTTGTAGACTCTCTTATGTGAAGGGTAAGTGAACAAACTGGAAAAGGGAAAATTATCGCAAGTAAAACCCAAAGTCCTCCCAACGCCTAGTGCTGTGACCTCATCTCCTATGATTCTCCCCCTGGCTTACTGCTGCAATCACGCAGTCCTTTTTGCTGTTCTTTAAACAAACAAAGCTTTTCCTTTTTTTCTGAAACACTTTTCCCCCCAGATATAGGAATGCCTACCTCCTCTCTTTAAGTCTTTGCCCAAATGTCACTTGCTCAATGATGCCTGATCTTACCTGCTATTTAAAATCACAATTTGTCTCTCTCCTCCAGCACTCCCTACTTCCTCCAACCCTGCAACAGGATCTGGACCCCAGCCTTAAGCAGAACCTGGAAGCGCTGGGAAGCAGAACCTGCAGCAGAGGGAAGGCGTTTCATAGATCACTGGTTTTATACGCAAGTTCAAGAACCACTGTCCTAAACTCTCAATCACTGAAATATTCAAGTAAAGACAAAGACCACCATGTGTCAAAGATGTTTAGGGAGAAATGTTTATATCTGCGCTCCAGTCAAAGGCTGGGCTTGATTGTACGATTTTATCAGATTAGTTTCAAAATTGATTAAGATATTGTATTTTGTGCTATATTATTTAGAACATGTTAATTTTACTTTCCATCAGACTCTGCTATGAGGTTGGTATTTATGAATTTTAAGAGGAATAGGAATATAGCTCTAAGAAGAATTAACACAACACCTTTGTGGAAGTCTCATTATACATATATAGGTTGGAAAATTCTGATTTACTTTGGAAAGAAGCCATTGTTATTTCATGTAATGAAGATAATTGGGAATTTACTATTAATTGTGTTAAGAATCAGTAACAGGACTTCTGAATAAGCAACCCATAATTCAAAAGAGGGTGGAAGTCAGGTTAATAATCTAATTTGATATGCAACATTAAACTGAATATTCTCTTTTCATACATGAAGCAGTATATAATGTGTAAAATATATTTTCACTATGAAATGAATAAACCAATTTCAGAAAAATGGCAGGTTGCCTTTTAAATAGTGACTTAGCAAGTGTAAAGTGAAATTAAATCATAATAAAATGACAAACAAAAACATGACATTAGCAATCATACAACATTCATCAGACCTTTAGCAACCACACTCCTCTCCCAACCCCATGAGGCCCTTAGCTTTGCTCTCTGGTGGATAAAAGGATCAGAAAATTCATTTCTCTCTTCTCCAGTTGGATATGATTACCTAGATTGAATTTAATTCACAACTCTCTACAGAGAAGTTTTTTTTTTCCTTTGTTTAGAAAGCTATTTTAAATTAATCTGTTTGGTGGGGGTTTTTTGTATTTTCCATAATGGCATAAATTTGTGTGAAAATTATTGTAAAACAATTAGCTTTATGAGAAAAATAGTCACATGTGTGTCTTACCATATTTGAGGATATTTCCCTGATATACTTTGGATGAAAATGAGCATACCAAGTATTTTGCTTGCCCAGCCGGTGTTGCTCAGTGGTTGAGCATCTGCCCATGAACTCTGAGGTCATAGTTTGATTCCTGGTCAGGACACATGCCCAGGCTGTGGGCTCAATCCCTAGTGTGGGGCATACAAGAGGCAGCCAATCAGTGATTCTCTCTTATCGTTGATATTTCTATTTCTCTCTCCCTCTCCCTTCCTCTCTCTGAGGTCAATAAAAATATTTTTAAAAAGAATTGGTTAGATTTAAACTTTATAAATCTACAATAGCATTTTTATTGTGTGATCCTTAGTTTTAAGCCCTTTGCCAAAATAAGTACAAAATAAAATTTTAAAAAAACCTCAAAGGGACACTTACCTGCCTCACAATTTTCAGTCACAATTCCTTTATACAGATGGTGGCTGAAGGACATCTTTACATCCTCTCCTTCCATGTGAACAATCAAGAGACCAATGGCTGTCCTAGCTGGGACCCCTTGGTCCATAACTTTAAGCTGCAGCCAGATTGGAAAATGTTCTGAAGATGGATTTTGCTGAAGGTGAATCTCTCCTGTATATTTATTAATAGAAAAGACTGACTGGGTCTCTGCAAAACTAAAAATGACAGTTCCATTGGGCCCCAAGTCTGGATCATTGGCTCTCAGAATGGCAGTTGTCTGGTTGATAGGTGACTGAGGGGAAAGAAAAATATCTAAGGGGTTCTGTTCCCAAACTGGATCATTGTCATTAACATCAGTGACATGCACTTTTATCGTTACTGTGGTGCTTCTTGAGCCCTGGATGCTACAGTCTCTGGCCACAGCCCGAAATATATATTGAGATCTGGCTTCTCGGTTGAGGGCGTGGCCAGTTCTCAAAATGCCTGCCACGGGATCGATGGTGAAGGCACCAGCAGCCTCATCTGTCAGGAAATACTCAGTTTGCCCATTCAGGCCTTCATCCTTGTCCACAGCGGACAGCACAAGAACCACTGTTCCCACGTCAGCATCTTCTCTCACGAAGGACTGGTACTGAAGCATGGGGAAGGAAGGGCTGTGATCATTGTCATCCAAGACTCTAACTTGCAACTGCACTAGAGAGCTTCTTGGGGGGTCCCCCAGATCAGAGCACAGGATGACAAGGGCAAAATTGTTGACTTGTTCTCGGTCCAAAGCATGAGTGGTTGAGAGTTCTCCTGATGTTTCATTAATAGAAAAGTACTCATCAGTATTGCCATCTATTAAAGAAAACAAATTCAAAGTTCACTCGAGTTAAAAAAAAAGTAGCAGCCCTTGGCTAGCAATATACACATGTATATATTCACTGATTCGTTCACTCAATAAATATTTATTTCCTGATTACTACATTGTAGTGCTTTTGTAAGTACTGAGGCTATAACAGTGAACATGAATGATAAAGTCCCTGCCCTCATGAAGCTTCTATTATTGGAGATAAACAAATTATATAATTCAATATGTATCTTAATTCAATCAATAATTAGAACACTTGCTTTAACTGATTTGTATGATTTTTGTATATGTGCGTGTACAACTTTTATATTCATATATTTTTCCTCTTGAGAGGATTAAAATGCATGTTTTATTTGAAATGAAACAACAGTTGGCAGGGATAAGAAACAGGATATAATGTCCATTTTTATATACCAATCAAAGATTAACAGATTGACAAGCCCTGGCCAGGTAGCTCTGTTGGTTGGAGCATTGTCCCAATATGCTAGAGGCTGTGGGTTTGATCCCCCATCAGGACACAGACAAGAATTAACCAAATAATGTATAAATAAGTGGAACAACAAATCTCTCTCTCTCATTCTCTCTCTCTGATAACTAAAAAAATTTTACAAATTGATAACAGTAATTTTCACAAACATTACTCACTACAGATTGTATGCCATTTATACAACAGCAATAGTTCTTCTACTTTTCCATGGCACCTTGTGCATGAATCATAACACTTCTGTTAGTGGAACACTTGTCTATTTCTTCCATAACATAACCAAGGAGGATGTTTCATTCATCTCTACATCCTTCAAAAACATATTTCCTTTACTACTGTCCCTGGTACTAAGTGGAATGTAAGTTAAAGCTGAACACAGGACAAAAAGCTTTCAAAGATATTTGAAAGTTACCCTGAGCATTAGTCAGGAAAAATGTGGTTCAGTGACTTGCTGGACATATTCTTGAATGGTCGGCCAACTTTTGGTTGAGGGGCATACTCTTGGATGAGGCACACTATTCCCAACAATGTGGGAAGTTATTGGAATCCACCAGAGGTATATGGGGAAGAAGTGGATGGGCATTCAGAGAACACAACAGCCAGAGGTAGTGCTGGAGGCTGAGGAGAAGGGACTTGCATTTGTATTTATGCACAAGACATGGTTAATGTGTACCAAATATAGGGCCAGAAAGACTACATTTCTGTGGGGTTTGTGGTTAATAAGGCAATTCATTCACTCAGCATCAATTTAAGGAACACCTGTCATGTACCAAGTACGTGCTGGATGCTGGAATAGGAGGAGATTAGGACAGGATCCCAGCCTCCAAGAGTTTATAGTTCAGAGGAAATGTGGGTCAGGACTTGGACATTAAATTGTGGTGTGAAAATCATACACACAGGACACTAGAGAGCACAGGGGAAGGGTACACAGTCCTGCGCTAGGATGTTCAAGATATGCTTATTAGAAAGAGTGACATTAAAACTAACTCCTAAAGGGGAGGAAGACAGGCTGCAAATTTCAAAGACAGGGAAGAGGAGGGAAGAGGGG